TTCCCGGCTGCTTCTCTCGGCCACAACCTGGGAGCCACCCACAGCACAGCTGCTTTTATTTCTCCCTGAATAAACAAACACATCCATCAGCTTTCACATCCCAGCCCCAGCATCCCCACACAGCAGCTAGGCACAAGCGTTCCCTCAGGAACCATGCAGGAGGCAAAATTCCATTAATGTCACAAACATCTCCAGCATCCAGTGCACAAAGCAAATTGGTGAATTCAGCCCAACAGGTATCAGTGCCACTAATCCCAAAGAAGTGACAGTAGAAGCATTTTTAATTTTCATGAGGTTTAATCTCCCAAGTAACCAGCCACTTTGTTCCAGTCATTGCACACAGGAACAGCAGCACAGCAAACAGCACTGCTGGAGCACCAAGAGTTTCCAGCACCTTGAGCTGGGATAAGTGAAAGGATGTACCAGTGTCCACTGGTGTCTGAGACTGCTGCCACATCATCAGACCACACACACCTCTCTCCATATCACTTCTGTCACTCAATGAGCAGATCTGGATTCCCTATCATCTCTTGGGGTTCTCAGGAGCTCAGACTTCTACACAGGATTTCAGATGTTGTCACAGAGCTCAGGAGGTGACAGTTCCCCTCCTGGAGGCACAGCTGATGGGCTCCAACAGGCAGGGTGGGTACAAAGGTAGAAACTGAGCGAGGCAAGGGGCAACAGGATCCTGTCAGAGGAGAGAGGGACAGACTCACTGCTGCTGAGGGAATGAGGGACACTGACTTTTCCTGCCACTCCCTCAGGTGAGAAGTAGGACTCATTTTAGGAAAGAGAATAAAAGGAACATGATGTACAGCATTTACTAAAGATGGCAACCTCCATGAAGCATCATAAAATGAGGAAACAAACCAGGGATACAGTGGGCTGTAGTTACATGCACACAATTAAAATGAAGAGTGACATTTTGGCAACCACTCACAGTGTGCAACCTGCACAATATCAACAGCTGCTCTACACTCTAGAGTCTCCATGGACATGATCTTGGGTCATCTGTGCTATGGACAGCCCACAGTTACTCACCAGACCATCCTGCCTCCTTGGAGCACTGTCTGGGAGCAGGACTCGCATCAGTACTACCACCTAACACCTTGATGCACCAGCAAGACAATCTAAGAACTTCCAAGCAGAAGCAAGTGGCTGTTATTAATCCATAAAATTTGGGTGGCACAAAAATCCATTCACTTATCCCAGCCAAGTCAGGTGCTCTTGGTAAACTCTCTTCTTGTGAAGCAGGGCAGTTGTGTGCCAGCAGCCACCACCCCAGGTCAGCCTTGCCAGCTGTGCTGTAGCTCAGGCACCTTAAGCAGCTTCACTAAAGCAAGTGCTGTGGATGAAAACAAACACACTGGGCAGAGGTAAGATGTGATCTCACAGTATTTGAGAGAAAAGTGGCAGGAGGAATAAAAGCATTATTCACCATGATGCTTTTAGCTATCCTGGACACGTCCCCAGTGTCCTCCTGTCTCCCATGCATGTGTCTGCTGAGAGAGCAGGTCCTGAACCCACCCACAATTCCAGCTGTGTGCACACACACCCTGGTACCCTAAAACACTCCTGGAGTGGGGCCCTCCATGTTCTGACCAAAACAACCTGGGAAGAAAGAGTCATTGGGCTGAAGAGAAGCTGGGCTCAAAGCACAGGCCCTCCATCCCATAGCCTTGAATCACAGCAAAACAAACCAATTAAACTGCATAAAATACCCAGAATATTTCTGGAAGCAGCCTGTGCAAACCCATGTACCAGACAAGGGCAGCTTCTGAAGCGTGCAGGGACAGACATGGTTTGTGCTGCTCTCAGTTACACTGTCAGAGATAACAGATTCAATTACCACAAAGCACAAAAGCAGCTCAATGAACACAAACTCTCTGTAATTCAAGTACTACAGAGGAACAAAAGGATTCCACTGATATTTTCCTTGCTGACTGTCATGGTTTGACACTGGACAGATGCTGGGCACCCACAAAGCCATTCACTCACTCTCCCATGTTACACCCCTGCAGTGTCCCTCACTTTTCTCAGAGCTCTGCTGAGTCTGATTTTTTAGTGTTTCTTTAGTAGTGTGGGGGGAAAGAATGAATTGTCACTCAGTTATAATTCAAACTTGTATCTCATTACTGTGCAGCAAAACCACATGACAAATCTGGCATTTACAGTATTCCTCTAAATCCTTTTTCTTCTGTCAGGTCTTGCCTCGCAGAGCATGAAAAGGAGGGAAAATAAAAGCTTGATAACCAGCCTGAAAAGACATATTGAAAAAATTATGGCAGTGCAGCAGAGAGGAAAGCTCAGAGCCTCAGGTAACCCTCAAACCTCCTGCAGGAAAAGACCTCCATGGCCACCCATTCTTCTGGGACTAGAGCCACAGCAGGTTGTGAGTATTCCAGACTAGACTTTTTGCAATTTACTTCCCTTCTCATCACCTTATCATCACACTTTTATTAATACCTCCTGGGAGGTGAAAGGTACAGGAACTTTTAACCAAGGCAATTTCAGAAAGCACAGTACAGCTGAGAAAAATTTGGTCAGTTCTAAAATAATTGACATATTGATAATTTCTGTACCAAAAAATAATAGAGGTCTATAAATTGAAGCTAGTTGGTTGCCTACAATACAGAAAAAATATTAATTTTGGAATGTGAGCCTGGGGGAAGGGAGAGGAACAGCAACAACTTCACATCAGGAATGCTCTGTGCACAGAACCTGTCCCATGTATTTACCATGTCCATCATTAGACAAAACATGAATCAAAGCCTCTCATCCAAAAGGTTTAAACTCTATTGTTTATGGTAGGAAAAGCTGAGGGGAGTGAGATTGCACGGTAAGATCCAGAAGGCAACCTAACTGCTCCTCAGTGACTGCAGGAAATCCAATCATTGGACTGGTATTGATGGAGAGCTGGAAAAAACCCAAGTAAGAGCAACTAAGTAAGAAAACCATGATCAGATTCTGTAAGTCCTTTAATTAGTCCTATATAAGTCACCAATAGGTCATTCTACAGATCTTTTTTCAGAGAAGCATGCAGACCACCAAGTGTCTGGGAATATTTTCAGGTGCAAGGCACACATCACCACCACTCACACCCCCCTGGGGATATTTCATTTACAATTAAAGCATAATAGCCAGTATAACCCACAGGAAAATTCACTGCATGATGTATAAACCCCAGATTAAATAAATGTAAGAGAAATCCTTTGCATATCCAAGGGGATTCCCTCTGCCATATCAGAGCCTTACACAGAATTCTCCTTGTCAGCATTATCCTTATCTCCTTAATACAGAAGTCCACACTACAAATCCCACATCAGGGTGAACCCTGAGATACCTCAAGGCTGAGGGGAAGAGCAAAGCAAAGCAGCTGGCATGGCAGACCCAAGAGTCTGACAGTCACCACTGCAGAAGGCTGCTCACAGCCAAAGACAGGCTGCACAAAGGGAAAGAAACAAGTGAGAAAAAGGGATAAATGGGGAAGGATAAAACCCCACAAAGATGGCAAGCAGAACACACAAGAAGGACAAAGTTAGCAGCAAGCTGTGTTATACACTGAGGAATATTTATGAAACAACTGAAGAGCAACACTTACAATTCTGAGGCCTTGACTGCATCTAAGTATTTACACAGGAATTAAGCAGTTAAAAATGCAGGGGCAGAAAAGGACTTGTGATTGTCCACAGCATATTTTTCCACACAGACCATAAAAACTCACCATGTGAACCTCTGAGAGCCCATGGCTGGTGATGGGCTCAGTGTTTTTTCCAACAGGCACTGAGAGTTTCCCTGGGCAGGAGAGCATTCTGACCCTGCTATGCACAACTCCTTTCCTCCTGTGTCAATTAGCTCCTCACAGCCCTAAAATCCACACACCAAGTGACAGCCCCACAAAGGAGACAGATTTTGAAAAGCAAGCCCATGTTAACAACACATTCAGAAGAGAAATTAGCTGGGGTAAAGCTTCAGGAAGTAATTTTATGGTAAGACACTCTCTGGGGAAATGGGGAATGTGAAAAAGAGGTTGGAGTGAGAGTGAGAGAAGCAGCAGAGACTATTCAGCAGCCCAAAAAAGAGCAGGGCACTGATATATGCACGTGTATAGAGAGGTAGAAAACTGCAGGGAACCAGCAGGGACTTGAGGGCTGGCTGATGGAGACAGAAAGTACAGAAATATGTGAGAAATGGGTTACTTAATTACACATATGTCTAGTCTAGCCAAACTCATCACTGTCCTTAACCCTGCCCCTCACACACACAGAAAGGACACCTGGGAAATTCCTTCTATTTCAATGCAGCACTTTCCTTCCCAAATGAAATGCTGAGGGACCATTTTGAATGAAGCTTAAATTAAGCTGCATCCAGCTAAATATGCCAGATGGATGCTGCAATACCCACACAGAGCAATTTGCAGGCAGCTGTCAGGGATTCAGTTACCAGCCAGCACAGAAGGCCATGGCTGTGTGCTGTGGGAAAATACAGAGCTACTGATTTCAGACTCCCTGATGCTTCATCAGCACAAAAGCTGAAATAACCACAGGGCATCCCCCAGCACCAATAGTGCAGATCAGAACTGCTGCATCAGCTTTATTTTAGCTGGTTTTTAAAGCCTCCTGCACCAGGATGTGCTGGGAAGCCTCAGCCAGATCTCATTCCTGACACAAGTGGAGCAGAGCAGGCTTGGGTGGGACCAGGATTCCCTGAGCCACTTGTCTGCCTCCTGACAGGGCAGGGAGTGCAGGGCTGAGCTGAAAGGCACCAAAGCAGCTGGAGAAGCTGGCACAGGACAATGCTGCTCTTGTCACAAGCACAGAGCTTGGGCTGTGAAACTCAAACAAGTCCCAGCAATGCAGAAGAGGCATCTCCCCCAGCAAATGCCTGCCTGAAGCTGCACCATCCTCTTCTTAAATGAAGCAGCACCTTCCAATAAGAGATTGCAGAGCCAACAGCAGGCAGCACTTAGGTTCCCCCTCCTTACAGCAGCTCCCAAAGGGAAAGGAGGCAAGGCAAGGCAAACCCACCAGTCCTGCAGAACAGATCCAGCCCAGAGGCCACCCCCAGCGACACTTACCCACTCCTGAAGGATGCACTTGGACTGTGCCCACAATGAGAAAGCTCAGTGAAAGATAAGTGATTCTTTTTCCAGTTAAGGATGGTAAGTTTAGATCAGGTATTGGAAAGAAATTCTTGTCTAGGAGAGTTGTGGAGCCCAGGAACAGACTGCCCAGAGCAGCTGTGGCTGCCCCATCCCTGGAAGTGTCCAGGAGCCACCTGGGATAGTGGAAGGTGTCCCTGACCATGGCAGGGAGTGGAATGAGATGAGCTTTGAGATCCCATCCAACCCAAACCATTCCCTGATTCTGTGATCCTTACAAGCAGGACTGGACAAAATACATCCTTCATATCAACAGGATCTCACCAGCACTTCTTATACTCACAGAAATGAAAACACAGGACTAAAGTTGTGCAAAGCCCCTGCTCAGCTTAAATTCTGCCTAAAGCATTTTCTGAGCATCAGCTTTTCAGTGACAATTTTATTCACACAGGAATTAGCTGATGTCAGCAGATGCTGTGTGACAGCAAAGTCACCTGGGCTGGCAGAAACTAAAGAGAGAATTCACTCTCACTTTGATTCAAACTGAGTTAGGGCTCTAATTTAACACAAGCTTACAGAAAACCAAAAACCTGACACAGTTGGGAAGACCAAGCCTTCTGACAAGGTACAGAAGTGCTGTCCATTGCAATTGGTCAGGGATGAATGTGAAAAGAAAGAGGAGGCCCAAGGGCCTCTTCACCACCATTACTAAGCAACAGCTTTGCAAAGAGGGCAAATCCAAGCTTAGCATTTAATGTTTGACCACATCTGCAGCACAACTGTGGCTTGATGGTACAATCTTCCTGTTTCAGCAATTCCAGTGCATTAACTTGCACCAAGGACATATTTTAATCTTGGGAAATAAGGCAGCAATTGGCCAAACCGGCTGCTGAAAGCCAAACTAATACCAGAAATATTTACCACAAACAACACCACAAGAGAAATTAACTTTTCCACTGTGAATCCAGGCTTAGTGACAGCAGACTTATTTTAAACCTTTTGGAAGTAATCCACTGAGTTGGCGAGCCAAAAGTCACTTCAAGGAGTAAATAGAAATTTTATTAGAACTGGTTAGGAATAAAATAAAATTATGTATATATATTTATATATATATATGGCACAAGTTCAGGGCTATGGTTGTTACTGTCCATGGACATTAGAGTATTAAGGAGAGATAAATACATTCAAAAGCAGTAACTGCTTTAGCTGACAGCCTTCTACTTCATCTTCCCACACAAATACCATCTCTAGAGGATGGAAACCGCTGGATGAGTGTTAGAAACCACCACGCACAGGGGGATAAAGGAAGCAACACAGCTTTCCTCCTTTTCCAGGAATTCCTCGTGGCCCGGAAACTTTTTTTGTTACATACAAAGAAAGCAGTACTGAATAATACCGTAGATTAAAGTGATTTTTTTTTTCTGGTAAGGGCTTGGCGAGCAGAAGTAGCACAAGTACTGCAGCAACCTCTGCCCAAAACCCATGAACAGTAAGACAAAAGGGGTTCGGGCCGGGGCTCACCCGGAGCGGGCCCCTCGGGCCGGGCCAGGGCTCACACGGAGCGGGCCCCCCGGGCAGAGCCGCCCGCCGGGCTCGGCCGAGCGGCCCGCGGGCCCCTTCCCGCGGCGGCCCGGGCACGGGGCAGCGCCAGGCGCGTTCCGGGCCGCAGCGGCCGCAGCGCGGGCCCGGGGGCCGGCGGGCTCCGGCCGTGCTCGGGGGGCTCCGCGCGGGAACTGCCCGGGGAAGGGCCCCGTCCGCCCCGTTCCGCCCCTGCCCGCCGCGTACCTCGGCTGTCGGCGGGGATCGGCGCCGGCGCGGCGGGGCCGCTCTCGGCTGCCGGCGGGAGCCGCTGCCCGGCGCACATCGACTTCAGCACCTGGAACACGGCGAGCGGCGCCACGTTCATGCGCAGCAGGTCCAGCAGCACCCTGCGGGGGACACCGGCAGCGCCCGTCACAGGGGGCTCCGGCCTCACCGGCGGCTCCCGCGGGGGCGCCCCCACCGCTCACCGGAACACCTCCGGGTCCAGCCCGCTGCCCGCCGCCTGCGCCAGTTCGAACAGCTCCGCTTCCTCCGCGCTCAGCAGCTGCTTCCGCCGCAGCCGCGTCTCCGCCATCGCCGCCGGGGCCGCCATTCCCGCCGGCCCCTCCGACATGGCTGTGGGGCCACGCCCCGGGCCGGCCTCCTCACACCAGGGCACGCCCCCACACTGCTCAGCCCCGCCTCCGCCGGCCCGGCCCGGCTCGGCTGCTCCCGGCGCGGCCGGCAGGTGGCGCTCCAGCCGCGGCCCCGGCCTGAGCGTCCGCGCAGGGACGGTGAGAGGGGTGAGGGTGTGCGGGGTGTGAGGGTTTACGGTGTGTGAGGGGTGAGGGTGGGCGGTGGGTGAGGTGCCCGCTATGCGGTGGGTGAGGGTGAGGGTGTGCGATGTCCGCTCTGCAGTGTATGGTGTGAGGTGTGCAGTGTCCGGTGTGCAGTGTCCGGTGTGCGGGTGTGCGGTGTCCCGTATCCGCCCCGCCGCCCTCCGCGCTCGCCCCTGGGGCCTCCCCGCGGACGCCTCCGCTCCCGAGCAGGCCGGGCCCAGCGGGGCCGCTGTGCACACAAAGGGCCGTGCTGCAGTTCGGGGTGCGGAGATGCCGTGGGACCGACCGGACCACACTGAACCCCCGTTCTCACCCCGGCTGTGCCCAGGGCCCGGCGCAGCTGCCCCGAACGCGCTGCAGCCCCCGAGCCCAGAGAGCAGCTGGGGTTGCATGGGGAGAAAACGGGAAATTGGAGTCTTGAGTCGCACCGTGGCGAAGCGCTGGCAAACTGAGATTGAAATTCCTCTATCTAAATGGAAATGAGCTGTTGCCATCAGGGAGGGATGTTCGTCACCGCTGCCCCAGCCCAGAGCTGCGCTGTTAATGCAGAGCAGGGCAGAGCAGAGGGGTCACTGTGTCCCCCCATCACTGCTGTGACAGACCCATCCCACCCTACACCAAGCCACAGCACACAGACGCTCCCACTCCACATGCCAACCTGTGAGTGTCAGAAGGTGAGCCGACCTTGTGCTCCAATGGCCCTGCTGACAGACATCTACTGCAGACGCCAAGACAGGAGTGACACGGATGATGATAAAAGAAGGATCTTGCTCTCTATGGCCCCAAGCACAACCAGCCCAGCAAGAACAATTATGGCTGTTTTGAGTGGGAGCAGCTGCTGCCAGCACGAATTACTGTGCTATATCAAAGGGATGTCTCTGAGCAGCCCCAGCACTGCTCCCCACCTCAGCCTTGGCATGCTCCCACTAACGTTAACAGCAAGAAGCTGGTAGTGTGGGATCATCATGCCTGGAATGTCCTGGGAAGGGACACAGCCACACCACTAGCACTGGGATGGTCTCAGTGGAAGATCATGGAACCCTAGGTTTGGGTCAGAAGGTCATCTAGTCCAACCTCCTGCTGTGAGCAGGGACCTCTTCAATTAAATCAGGTTGCTCCAAGCCCTGGCCTTGAATGTTTCCACACATGGGATTTCCACCACCTCTCTGAGCAACCTGTACCGGGGTTTTACCACCCACACTGTAAAATTCTTGTATCTAATCTAAATCAATGTTCCTTTTAGCTTAAAGCAACTTCCCCTTCTGGGTGCCTGAGCATGGTGGTTTGGAGACAGGCCTCCAAAACTGTGCACAAAAAATGACAGAACTACTCACAGGTGTAGACTCAGAATTAGGTGGAGGCATCCAGGCAGAGATGTCTTGGGACAATTTCCAAACAGGACACCAGGAGCAAGTCAGTGGTTTGGAAGGATGCTGGGAGCCATCCTGAAGGGACTGAGTGAGGATGGGCTCCAAGTCAGAAGTTGAAATTTGTCCTTTGTGTCAAACATTTGGTCTTTAGGAAGAGATTGGAGAGGAGGCATTCAGCTGTGCCAGTGCACATGTGTGTTATGTGGGTGCCACCCTGCACATTCCACTGGCAGCCCGAAGGGATCAGGAGCAAATTTCTCTCCTTTTCTCTAAACTCTGGCAGCTGAGCTGTTATCTGATCCTCCTGCAGATTGCTGTGCTTGGAGACAAAACACAGGGCACAGCATTCTCAGGGATACCCAAGTAACTCCAGCATCCCTACTAGGGCTGGGGTTTCAAACTCATCACCAGGCTGGGCTTCAAGGAACTGCTCCAGGCCAGAGGGCAGGAAGGGGGCATGGATGACAATGTGAGGGTTTAACCCAGCCCCACAAGGATCAGCTCTGGTTCTCTCCAGCCTCTGAGGGACCTGGGAGCCTTGATGACTTGTGCTGGGAGGGTGATGTGAGGCTTGGCACTAACCAAAGGGTTTCATTTCTAACAGGTGGGAGACATCAGGGACAGAATTCAGTGAACACACCCCAGCTTCCCAGGTAGGCAAGCTCCAGTTCTGCCTTCTATCAGTCTTTTCTCCCTCTTGGTTGCCTCCATCCTGCAAAACTACACATTTTCATAGAATCATGTAATGGTTTGGGTTGGAAAGGGCCTTAAAGCTCGTCTTGTTCCAATCCCCTGCTATGGGCAGGGACACTTTCCACTATCCCAGGATGCTCCAAGCCCTGTCCAACCTGGCCTGGAACACTTCCAGGGATCCAGGGGCAGCCACAGCTGCTCTGGGCAGTCTGTGCCAGGGCCTGCTCACCCTCTCAGCCAAGAATTTCTTCTTACCTCATCTGACCCTGCCCTCTTTCAGTTTGAAACCATTCCCCCTTGTCCTGTCACTCCAGGCCCTTGTCCAAAGTCCCTCTCCCACTCTCTTGGAGACCCTGAGGGCACTGGAAGAGGCTTTGAGGTCTCCCTGGAGTCTTGTCCTCTCCAGGCTTCACAGCCTGAGCTCCCCCAGCCTGTCTCCATGGCAGACAGCCCTGTGAGCACCATTTTGGCCAGTGAAGTGCAGGGCTGACACAGCCCCAGCTGACCCACAACCAGGCAGAGACACGAGGCCAGGGCTGCACCAGTTCAGCCCTGACCCCCTGCACAAGCTGTTCCCAGCAGTGCTAATCCAATTACAAAACAAACTTCCTGCCCCCATTCTCAGAGCTGCAGCATGTGCTGAACCAGCGCTGGGATTGTGGAGGGCTTTGTGAGGGACCAGCACTGAATGGCAGAGGGAGGAGGGACACAGAGCACAGGCAGCTGGGAGCACATGGGGCACTGCTGGGACAAGTGGATTACAATTATTACAAACAAAGGTCTTTGGTCTAACTTTATACTCCCAACAGGGTTAACCTTAAAGCCACACAAGGTTGTTCATGCCCTTTTCCCTCCTGAGGATTAGCATCCTCATGAATAGGGATCCCTGTCACCTCTCTAGCCCTACTGGATGCCTGCCCTCACCCACCCCATTCCCAAACAAAGCTCATTCAGTCACAGGATGGCAAAGGCAGCACTAAAACACCCTTTCTAGAGAATTTAAGTTCAAATTTTCTGGGGAGAAACTCCTGCTAGAATTGGAGTGATATATTTTTGGTGGTCAGGACAAAGGAAGGGGTTATTTCCCTTTATTTGGCATTGGTGAGACCACACCTGGATACTGTTTCCAAGTACATGAAGAGAGTGAGAGACTCCTGCTGAGGATGTTGGGGGCAGAACAAAGGAGTTTCACTTCTTTACCTGGAAAAGAAGGGCTCAGGAGGGATGTGATCCCCACAGCAATGCCCAAGAGCCATTTTGCTGGAGCACTTGCACACCCAGCCCAGCTGCAGGCAGTGCTGCTGGCCCGTGCCTGGCTCTGGGCAGCTCCTGCAATGCACACAGCTTTCATTCCTCATCCCTGTGCTCAGCAGGGATGCTCTGAGATGGAGCCAGCTGACTGAGCAGGATTCCACCACAAGGCTGCACAGCCAGCACTGCCTTCCAGGCACTTTGCTCCCTGCCACAGCTCCTCAGGAAAACAGCCCCACACCATGTGGGGAGCTGCATGAACACAAGAAACCTCTTTTCCACCCCAGCTTCCAAGAAGGCAGAGGATCCCCATGATGAGCTCTTCACTGAAGGGGTGAAGCCCTTCACACTGCAGGGCTGTTTAAGTGCCACTTGAAACCTCCTAAGTGCAGAAAGGGCACCCAGAATTCTGCACCTCCAGCCCTTCCTGCAGGCTCTGGGTGCAAAGCCCTCCCGGTGGAGTCACCTCCATCCCCAGTGGACAGAACGCCTCCCTGGGATGGGGCAGGCAGGCAGAGCTGCCAGCACCAGAGGCTGTAAGGAGACACCGGCCAGCTCGATCCAATGCCTTTTAAGGAGCGGCACAGGCTGAGGCATCCTGGACCAACCCCCCAGGCTTGTGCAGCCTCCAGTCACGGCGTGCACTCACAGACCACACTGGCCATGCCCCACGGCCCCCAGAGCAGCTCAGAGCTGTGCAGGGCAGCCAGGACAGCTGTCTCTGTGCTGAGATAGAGTCTGAATTACCCCAAACCCCGGACAGCAGAGCGGGGTTCCTGCAGTGGCTGCAGCTCTCACCCACACAAAATCACAAACCATCAATCACCTCAGTGTCCCCCAGCAACAGCAGGGACAGCTTCTTCCTGGCAGCAGGCAGAAGGGAGGATGATGCTTTTTCACAAAGCCTTCACCAGGACACTGCTAACTCATCCCACCAATTCCCCAGGGCTTTGTTCCACTAACAGAAAAGGTTTTGCTGGTCCGGCAGTGAATTTGCTGCTGTCATCCCCACCCAGAGAGCAGAGGGGAAAGGGAATGTGCTGCTGGGGAGTAACAGCAGGATGGAGCTGAGGCTGAAGCATGGATAGAGGAAATGCATGTGCACGGGTAGAGCAGCAACAGCAGGAACAAGGTGAAAAGGCAAGGATGTATGAAACAGTACAGAGCACCAGAGAAAGGTTCAGCCAAAAAAATAAAGAGGAGCAAACTGGCCCAAAGACAAGGTGTCAGAAAGACAAACAACAGGAGTGGAGCCAGTCATTTCTCAGAGGAGATCAGGAGCTCTGTGAAATTCAGACTTTGCCTAAGATTTCTGAGAGGTGAAGGAAAACAAGAAGGCAAAAGATCCCAAAGAGCACCCTCTTCTACAGGGAGTAACAGGCAAGGACATGGCCACCAGCATCCTTTGTCCCCTGTGTCTCAGAGGGGACACTGGCTGACCATGCCACTCCCAGTGTATCCAACGGCGCAGGCAAATCAATTCCCTCAAAGCTCTTGTGTAACAAAATTTCCCTTTGCAC